TCCCTCTTTTCAGAAAGGTACTTCTGTCCAATTGCTTTCATCTTGAGAATACAGCTATGAGGTCTGTTTCTAGGGATGTCCTTCAGCAGGCAGCAGGAATTGTAAAATCAGTCACACAAACGGCCTACCACATATAAAAATAACCAATATATCAACAGGGCTGAAGCCAAGCAGCAGTTAAAATAACTACCGGATCAGTAACGCTAAACCTACAACGCAGCTCAACAGATACACCCAGAAAGAAAAAGAGCAGGCCATGTTTAATTTGATTTATGCCATGGCTTCGTTTTTTATTCAAGACACGAAACATTCTGAAAAGCGAATGCTAAAAAGTGGAAAAAGATTGCCATAACAGTATGAAATAGAACAAAGTGCAAAGCGGATAGGAGAACATTCCTGTCTCTAACGAGACAAATGCTAGGGCTGAGATAAATTCGAGATTGTCTCTGTGGTGGCAGAGCCTTCTTAGGCAGATGCTGCTGGGCCCGCTCCTGCCGCACGCGGTTTTGCTCTCCTCCATGCGGCTGCTTTAGGGATAAATCCTGCCCTGTCAGTCCAGTCAGCAGCTTCTCTGTAAGTTGAGCTGCATTTATCTGTAGTTGCATCTTGCTAAAGTTTTGAAGTTTTGAGAGCCTGGAGGATGGAGGGAGGTAAGGGAGGTAATAAGTTGTACAGTTGAGATGACTTTGATTGCAAATGAATATAAGCCCCTCAGCCTGTTCTGAAATCCCTCTGCAAACCTTGCTACGTCAGAATAATCTTTCCTGTTTATAGGGAAATGAGTTTGTTTGTTTGGACGAAGCGCAGCTACACGTGGCTCTTTATGCCACAAGAGTACCGGGGTGATCATGGCCTGCTCAAAGGTTGGACGGAGCACATCCCACAGACAGCCAGACGTGCTGCACATTTGCCAGGTGTTGGAGGACGTTAAGACATTAACACAGGAAGCAAAGAAATGGGTGAATAGGATGAAGGTGAATTAAATACTCTGTCGTATATTAGAGAAGACGAACCCTGTCTGTACAGGTGGAAAAAAGCTTAAGGACAGCAGGGTTAGTGAGATACGCATTTGATCTCTCCTAGAAGACACAGGCTGAAATCCCACTCTGCTTGAAATCCCGATGAGAATTCACACTGACTTCAACGGGGCCAGCACGTAGCCTATAATCAGCAAATTACTTGATTAGACAGCGCAAAAATATCATCCTGGCTAAAGACAATTATTTTCAGTATCTCGGGTGGAGCTCCAGGAAAGGAGGGAACAGACTGCACAGCAGGGTCCGTGGCGACAGAAAATGGGGAAATGGCTTCCAGCTCAGGGAGGGCAGATTCACGTTAAGTATACGATAAAAATCTTTTACGGTGAGGGCAGTTTTGAGTCTATTCACTGCTCGTGAAGGGCTGAAGATGGATTTTCCCCCGCTAATGCAAATCCCAGCAAGTTTTACGGCGCACCGGCAGCCGCAGGGCACGCAGGAGCACCGACCCCTTCAGTCGGAGGGCGCCGAGGGGCGCAGGCACCAACAGACGGCGGCCGGGAGACGGGACGTCGCTCCCAGCGCTCTGCCCGTTGCCCCGTGCCGCCACGAGGGGGCGCCGCTGAGCCGCCGTCACGGGGCCGTCAGCCTGGGCTGTCAGCGCACAAACTCGTGCGTCCTACGCATCCTTGATGTTTGCGCTGTGCTGTTTGTGCTGTAAAGATTCAGTATGTTGTGTAGCGTACAGGGACAGCTGTTTTGGCTTAAGAAGAAGAATATGTGGCTCGGAACGCCGGAAACCTTCCAGCCACACCTTTTCCCTCTGAATGAACACGACTCTTTTCACACCCGTTTGTGCAGCATAGCTTGCAGCAAGCACTGCTCGTACGTTGGAAACTATTGACTAAATAGCAGTTGAATTAAAGAATGCAGATTAGAGAAGGCATCGAGATGCCGAGCAGGTCCGGAGGAGGGCCGCTAAGATGATCGAAGGGCTGGAGCACCTCTCCTGTGAGGGAAAGGTTGAAGGAACTGGGCTCATTTAGCTTGGAGGAGATCTCATAGCGGCCTTCCAGTACGTGAAGGGAGCATATAAACAGGAGGAGGAATGGCTGTTTACAAGGGTGGATTGTGATGGGATGAGGGGGAACAGTTTTAAACTAAGATCAGGGGAGGTTTATTAGATATCAGGGGGAAGTTTTTCACTCAGAGGGTGGTGAGGCACTGGAACGGATTGCCCCAGGAAGTTGTGGATGCCCCATCCCTGGAGGCATTCAAGGCCAGGCCAGATGCGGCTCCAGGCAGCCCAGTCTGGTGCTTGGCGACCCTGCACATAGCAGGGGTTGAAACTATTCAGAAAGCAGCACCAGCTCACACCAGTAGCTGTAAGCTCTGTGCTACGACGCTATTTGTCTCCCAGAACGATTCCCTCAGATCATTAAAGGAAACGTCAGGGTTTTGCTCAGCTGGGAGACGAGCTGTCACAGAACCTCCAGCAGGATCACTCTCACATTCAGGTCTCCCTTCTTTTCCCACCTGTTGCAGCTGATGTCCGTAACAACATGCAATAAAAGCATTCACAGTTCTGCAGCGATAAAAATTAAAAATCAGCACAGTCCAACTTTCAGGATAGTAAATTAAGAATGATGCTACGTCAAGGGAATTCCATCACTGAAGTCTTTACAGTGTACCCATGTCCTTAGCTAGATACGTCTAAAATCTCACGGAAGGTCTTCCTAGTGATTTCTACGACAAATGGACGTAACCCTGAGCAACGGGGCCGAGAAACCAAATAGCAAAGCATCTTCAAAGCGCAATTTAAGTCCGTCATTCAGATCTAGAGTCCACGTGTCTACCTGCCAAAGCCCTGGGCCCGCCCTAACGAGGCCCGGCTGCGCTAACGAGGCAATGACCGCCAGGTGCTGGGCACAGCTGCGCTTCGTCCGGAGCTCAGCGCAGGGCCCGCCCCAAAGCCTCTTAAGCTCCTCCGGGGGGCTGCCAGGAGCTATGAGGGAGTTCTGGGCAGTTCCTCGGTGGGTGTGCTGGAGCCGGATGCGTTTCTTCGTCCGGTGCCGTCGGGGCTGAGGAGCACCGCGAGGGGCTGCTTTGGAAGCGAAAATTTGGACCTTTGTTTCATGTTCTCTGTTCCTTGTTTATTTTTTGTTTTTAGGCTGCAGAGCGGCGTCAAGATTGGCCCCAACCGATGAGCCGTGCTGGTTGTAATGGGACCCCGGAGGCGGCGAGCGCTCGGTGGTCTTTAAGGGCTCTTCGTTCGGGGTAAGAGGCTGCCCGGCTCTCACCGTGCTCTTCTTTGGGCCGGCACAGGGCTGTCGCCAAGCTTCTTCGGCTTTTTAGAGCCGGCGTTGCATCGCTGCCCGCCTTTTCTCGCGTTCGGTTCTCTCATCTTTCTATCCCTGGTTTTTTTTTTTTTTTTAGCGGGCGCTTCAGTTCCCTCCCGCTCTCGTCAATGGGAGCGAGCAGGACAGGGCTGTATTCCTGCAGCCTCGGCGCAGCTGGGAGCGAGAAGCAACTCAAAGAGCCGCTAAAGCCAAGCGTTCTCTTACTGCAGACTGAGCGAGGGCTGTGGAGAGCTTCTGCTCATCCCAAACCAGCGAGTGTTCGGGAGTCCGTAGGTGAGTTCCTGCTTCTAGCAGCAGGCTGGGACTGTGTGTTTACCCCCTCCTTACATTTATCTTTAGAAGCACGATCTCATTCCCATTGTGAAGGCACACTGGGACAGCTTGCATGACTGGAATGCTGTTTGGGATGGCTGTGTTCTCTTTCAGCATGACAAACCAGCAGGGTGATGGAGTTGCTGTTGAGGTGACAGAGCTGGATGGAGCCCTGCCTAGGGATGAGTAAAGAAGAGGAGAGCACTCGTGTGAGACTTAATAGGCAGGTGAAGGTGGGTAACATCCCTGGAGGGTGTCGGTGACAAACCAGGATGAGGAAAGTAGGTAAGATCTGTGCACAGCTGAAAGCAGCCTTACAGCTGTGGGCATTAGTTGGCAGGGTGGCTCAATCAGCCCTGATAATAGGAAAGCAAGGCTGCCAGTCATGCTTGTTGCATGAGGCTTCTGCAGTGTGTTGAAAGTAAAAAATTTGGACAGAGGTGATAGAGGAGCTTGTTCTCCCTATTGAGGGAGGGTCAAGTTCAGTATCTCATGTGGAAGAAGCAAAGCAGTAAGTAGGGTTGAGACAGCAGACTTTGGGGGAGTCTGCTGTGCCCTCTTAAAGAGCCTAGAGGGAGTAATCCCTGCAGTTAGAGCATCAGAAGGGGACCAGCAAGCGTTTGCTGATGCTGGTGTGATTCCTTTTTCTGCACTCTGGAGGAGCGCTTCTCTAGGAGCAAGAAAGTGAGGGGAAAATGGTAGGAGAGCCGCATGGGAGAGCAAGGAGCCCCCAAAAGAGGAGCAGGAAGAGATGGGAGGCCCAGGTAATATCACCTTTGGGGAGGTCAAGGGTAACAGAAGCTTGCAAGCTTGCGAACAGCAAGAAGGAGACTAGGGATGGTGTGGGCCTGCCATCTTAGCAGGCGGGGGCCCAGAACGCCTTCTGTGCTTTAGCCATCAGGACTGAGACTGCAGAGACCGCTCCTTGAGAATCCTGGATCCCACAGGAAAGAGCCTTTGAGGAAGGATGACTTCTCGATTGTGGAGGAGGTGAATATCAGCTAGGCAAAACTGATGCCCACAGCTCCCTGGGCTCTATTGGGATGTGCCAGTGTGTGCCGAGGGAGATGGCGGAAGCCACTGCCAGCTGGCTCTCTATAGCATTCTCTACGATCTTTCTATGTGGTTATGACCATCTCTTCAGATGACAGAAGAGCGGGGGATGTTGCATGCCTGACTTCAGTGAGGCTTTTAACACTGTTTGTGGCAGTGTGCTTGTAATGGTGCTTGTCGAGAGTGAGATTGGTGATTGAGGGAGGATGGGCAGGCTCAGCAGCGTAGTCAGAAGCTGTAATGATGTTGTTATGTGGGGTGGGTACTGCATCTTACTGTGCTTATTTTTCATCAGTGACCTGGATGAAGAGAGAGGGAGCTGATGATGTGAAGCTGGGAGGAGCAGCTGACAGCAGGACCCAGTGAACTTCAAGGAGAGCAGGTATGAGGCTGCGCAGCTAACATGCACTGCATGTTAGTGAGTGGCCTGCTGGAAAGGAGACCTGAGGGGGACTTGGTGTTCAGCTGCGAGCCAGCAGGGCGCCCCAGAAAGCCAATGCTATCCTGGCATGTGTGAAAATGAGTGAGAGCAATAGGGTTCTGCCCTGGTGAGCCTGTGTCTGGACTACTGTTTCACTTCTTTGTCTCTACAGGTCAAGAAGATGAGAAACTTGTACAGAGTGCAGTAGTTACAGTAGTGCAACAAAGAAGATGAGGAGCTTGGAGCATCTCCCTTCTGAGGAAAGGATGTTCACCAACCTATGGCTGCTTTGCCAAGAGAAGGGAAGGTGAGTGGGATCTCCCTACTGTTAAGTTTGTAAAGTGTGGTTGCTTTGGGGATGATATTCATGGACTTGACCACCGTAAGTATTTTACAATCGGAAGGAGAATGATTTCTCTGTGAGAGCAATGGTATAGTCTAGTTGAGATGGTATCAAGCGTGCTTCTCTGGGAATGTTTGAGTCAGGATGCTTTCCTGTGTAAGGTGCTGTAGCAAGGGATTGCAACAGGGTAATTTTTAGAGGAGCCTTTCTAATTGTCTACTGCTCTGACTTTTTTTTCTTTTAATCTGGTTTCAGGGTGAAGGCTGCAGACAAGTTTTGTTTTGCTTTTTGCAAGGATTGTCTGAACATGAGGTTTCATCAGCGGTGAGTAGCAGGGGTGTGATCCTTCCCCTAAGGGTGCCTTGGTGGTGGTTCACAGCTCTTTTAGGTTCAGTGCTGGAGCAAGGATCCTGGTAGCAACTGCTGCCTCTGCAGAGGGAGGTGAGTTTTTTGTTTGTGACCTGCCAGTGGTGTCCCTGGGATGGAGTTTAGAGCTGCCTTTGTGCCAGTGTGTCTTTTGTCCTGGCAAAGTTTCACTGTGGTGTGTGTTTTTTTTTTTTTTCTTTTGTTTGTTTTGTTTTTTCAGGCTTGAAGGTGTTGTTTTAAGCAGTGCCTGCAGCAGAGATTCAGCAGCCCTTGTTCAGGAGTTTGGAGTGTTCTGAAGGTCAGAATTTTTGATGGGGAGCTGCACTCTATCAAGATGAAGAAGTGCAAGTGGCTGATGAGGTACATGGTGTCTGTGGCTTTTTTTTTTTTTTTTTTTAGTAGATTTTGAAGTTGGTTGGGTTTGAGGTGAGTGGTTGTGTTTATTTGGTGTTGGTGGCTGTGTTGTCCTGTGTCTGGGAGCTTCTTGGGGTTTTTTGTGGGTTTTTTTTTTTTTTTTTATGGGGCTGTTGACTGGGATTTGCACTGTCTCAAGAGATTATTTTTTTGGGTGGGAGGGTGGATGCTGGTCAGTATTGGAATTTCTTTTGTTTTGGTCTGGGGGCTCCCCCTGAGTGGGGTGGTGGTGAGGGGGAGCCCCCTGTGGCCTGGGGCTCCTCCCTTAAGGGGGGGGAAAATAGGGGGAGCCCCTCTTGACCTGGAGCTCCCCCTGAGTGGTGATGGCTCCTTGGTGGCTGTGTTCTTGGTCCTGGCCTGGAAGGGAGAAGCTGAGTTCTGTGTTCTGCAGGAAGAAAAAGTACAGTTTACTTTAAAATGAGGTAAAACCTTCTTGAAACAACTCTTGGTCTGTAGCTTAAGAGGCTGCTTGATTTATGTAGTAGTTTACAGTGCCTGGGGTTTACAGTTAAAAAGGGTTTGGATAAGTGGCTGGAGGTGAAATGTGCCTGTGGAGTGTGTACAAGGCTATGCTCCATGTATGCTAGGGATGTTTTATAGCAACAGTGATGTCTGAAATAGGCTGAGATGGTTAGGAAGGAGGAAGGTTGCTGTTCTCTGTGACTTTCTTGCCAAATCCTCCTGGGGGGCAAAAAAAATGGGTCTAACAGGAAAATGAATGGAAATGCTTATGAAGCCTCCTCTTTAGGAGAGGTCTGTAATGAGGCCAGCTCAGATTTCTAGAGGAGGACTTCTGGAGGAGAACTTCAAGGCTTAACTTTGTTCTTGTTTCAATGCGTGCCCCGAAACTACTGGTAATTTTGCTTTGGTGGTGTGGGAAGTGGGTGAGTATGTGTCAGTTTTAGAGAAGAATTATCAGCTTGCAGCAAATTCTTGGGAAGACTGTTGCTGCTGAAGGTGGGAATGCTCTGTTACCTGTGGAAATGGGATGCCTAAGAGTATCTGCAATAAAATAGAATGGCTAGACTGTAGCTTGAGTTTTCCTGGTGAGGTGGATACCTGGCTGTCTCCAGCTTAAAACAAAAAAGCAGAAAATGTTTGCTTACCTCAGGGAAGAGATAAAGCACCTAGCAGTTATTCTGTGCTTGTTTGGGATGTCTTTCCTTGCTGCTGATGTGAGCTTATCTCAGCTGGAGGAAGAGAAGGACGGTGACCACTTCTGCCACTGGCCATTTAGCATGGCATGCTCTGTATTAAAAAAGAGAAAAGAAAAAAGTGAGATTGAAGTTAATAGCCAGTACTTTCACAGGTCATCTACTTCATTTGCACAGCGTGTCAGCCTCGTTTGACTCACTAAATGAAACTGCAGTACTTTTCCAGTGCTTGTGTTGTTGCAGATGAGTTTCTGGAGAGCAGCCTTACTTGAATTTGGTGGAGCTTCAAGCATGAAGGTGTGCATGTTGCCGTGATTGTCAGAAGATATTCCTTTTCTCCGGGTTTTCTCTTACTAACTAGCAGACAAGTTTGTTAAGGGTGATGTTGCTCTCAGTTTTAACACAAGAAAAGCATGTAATGCTGATCTGTAATAGCTGATTGCTCTTACAATGTTGAGCTCTGTCCCAGTACATTCACACACGGTAAAACAAATAAAATTACTTGAATGTAGCCAGCTGCTGAGCTTCTTTCCATAGGTTTAAAAACAAACAGGCTTCACAAAAATGACTCAAGGATTTTTCATCTACTTGCCACTACTGGGTGCAGAGCCCTCTGTCCCTCTAAGCTTTAGTAGCTCTGTATTATTATTACTTAGTGGTTACCCATTATCTCAGTGCCAATTGAGGGATGAATGCCCAAAACAGGCAAAGGGTAGCATTTGCTGTGTTGGTTTAGACACGCTATACTTGTACTATGTAATTGTAACTTGGAGATATAATGTGGATGCCCCATCCCTGCAGGCATTCCAGGCCAGGCTGGCTGTGGCTCTGGGCAGCCTGGTCTGCTGGTTGGTGTCCCTGCCCACAGCAGGAGGTTGGAAGCAGATGAGCATTGTGGTCCTTTGCAACCCAGGCTGTTCTATGCAAAGTGAATCAAATTGCCTTAAAAAGAGAAAAGAATGTACTCATTGATGTCACATATGAACATCTGAGGAAAATATCTCAAATGACAAAGAAAATACTAATTCAGAGCAAAAGTCAAAATCTGCTCCTTTTTATTTATTTTTTATTTATCCTTTAATAAAGTTTCCCTGTGCTTTTCAGTGTTGGTTAACACCCTGCCGTTCTGTCCCAAATGCTTGTTTTGTGACAGATCCTTAGCCCAGCCCAAACAGTTCATCCTTGCCCACCCTGTGGGCCAGCTGTTCACATACACTTGCAATCACCCACCAGACCCATTCACAAGTCAACACTGCAGCTGCTGCTGTGCCTTTGAAGGAAATGAGAAGTTTCTGCTTCTCTTTTTTCCCCTCCCTCATTCCTGGACACTTCTAGGTTGTAAGCATGCAGGAGAGAACTAGAACTGGTTACACCTCCTATACAACTGTTTAGTTTCTCAATGAAATTATTAAAAAAAAAAAAAAAAGAAAAAAAAACCACAGGCTTCTTTATAAACTTTTTTTTTAAACACCAAAACAACGTATTTGTCTTCAGCTAATAGCTCTTTATATACAACAAAACAGAAAAAGAATGGCCACTTTCCATTTGGAGAATGCAAGATGAGCGTGCCAACGCTTCTGGGACCTCTCTCAGGCTTCAGCAAGCACATGGCATGTCATGGCTAATATTTCCAATTGAGAAAAGGGTAAAGCACAATATGTAACATATGATGATGCAGGGCCAGTTCTTTCATTTCATTTTCTCAGCTCAAAGCTTTCTCTGCTAATATATATGCATACAAACATACGTATATATGCAGGTGTATTAAGCCCGCTAACATCTCTCCTCAAGCTTAAATTACTTGCTGCCTAATTAGCCAGTTGATGAGGTCTAAAGGTCAATGGAATTGATATAACGCTATCCAATATAGTTATTTTTAATTGCAATATGTTAGGTTGAACGGTGTTTCAATTCATATGCCAGAAAGTCTACATACGGAAGTTTGTATGAAGGTGGCTACTTTTCCCTATTGCTTGATAACTGCCCTCTGTTTTTAAATGACTGTTACTTTCTCTAACATTGGAAAGATGGCACTGTTGTTTTTTCCTGTGGTCCGAGGTCCCCAGTGGTTCAGTCCACTTCTCTCTACAACTGCTGTTTAAGGTGCTGACAGCCTCCAAGGGCCTGAGGGATCCTGCTATCTTCAGCAAGGTTTAATTTTATTTCCATTTCATACTTAAAGCTTCCGTGACCTTTTTGAACATGTAAATGATAAAAATCAATTCACACACGGATGTATCAAGTGCCACGTCCACCTAGGCTTGTTAATAAACCGCACTGCTCTGTTTCTGCCGGCCCGCGGCTATATTAGCTGTCTGCTCGCCTTATTTGTGAGATATAAATAGCCAGGGACTGCATACTGCCTGTCTAGTTACATTGACATAACAGTGATTTTAATACTCTTAAACAAGCCTGTCTCCTGATGTGGGTCTGTCCCAAATGCTCACTCTTACCTGCTTTCCTTTCTCGTGTTCGAGTGGGAGATTAGTAAGCAAAATTTCTCAGCCATCAAACATGCCAATAGAAAGCAATTAGAAGAGCCACTGAATGACATGTTTGTACTGTTTGCAAGCTACTGTTGGGAAAGTAATTTTTTGATAATGTTTTATACCTCTACAGCACAGTGGTTCTGACCCACTCTTGCTGCATGGGCTTGCATCAGAGAGCCCCGGACTCATCTCGTGGCTTTGCTGTATCGTTCTTACTGCCAATTGAAGCTAGCTGGTACTCTCTTCCCAGATGCTTGAACCCTCAAGACAGTAATGCCTTACAGTGAAGTAAAGCACAGAGAGGCAGAGAACTAGACTCAGTAAGGGATTAAATTAACAAAAGAAGGATTTAGGTGAGGTTTGACATCCAAATATACAGTTGTGAGATGAAGACCCTCAGCTTGTGACTGAAAAGGTATCTAGGTATCTGTGAGCATACGGAGGGACAGCTGCAACTGCCCCAGCTTCCCAGCATCTATTTCTCTGCTGAACTGAGTGCACGTGCACTGTAAGGCACTGCCAGAGCATGCTGGACACTCTGCCTCAGTCCCGGGTCACACCACTGGTTCAGGTCTTGTTTGGGTAACCGATCCTTCAGTGCTAAATCCAGACTACAGCATCTTCTGAAAGAAGATATTTCTCTTGGATAAGCTGATATCCCTAAGCACAGCATTATGCAGTGCTGAGAGAGCCCCACAGGACACGTTACCCCCTGGAGGACGGCTAGCCAGGACCTAGTGCAAACCATGGAACTACAGATATCTTTAGAATGAATTATGAGCATGACTGTTGTGCAAAATGAGTTACAATGAGCAAGTTCATCAACGAAATTATAGCCTCTCGAGAAATCATTTGCAACAGCCACGATGAGTAACATCTCACCCTGTGACTCCATTTACTTCCATCTTCCCATATAGTTGAATAGATTACTCTGGAAGTAATGTCTCCTATTTATTTCTACAGAAACTACAGCAGATACAAAGAGCACAAAAACACAATTTGATAGTGTTTTGTAGCTGAAAACTTGCTCAATTTTTCAACAAAGGCACTACTGTCAGCTATGGATTTGATGGCATGGCTGTATGTAACTATATATGCATTATTACATGGCTGTGAAAGCCATCTCTTCGCAGCTGTGCCCTGATCTGGATTTGCAGCTTACGCTTATAACCATGAGGGGACTTCTGCAGCGCATAGGAGAGCGCTGCTGGACTTCAAAATGCTTCATAGCTGGGGGCAATAACGCAGCAGCAACAGAGAACATGCTCAGGTGCAACAGCAGTGGGTGCAGAAAAGAAAGAAATTTCTTACCTTTAAAAGACCTGTAAAATCCTCAGGAACGTAGA